AGTTAAAATTCAGAAAAATTATACTTTGGAATGCCAACTTTTGATCATGGTAAAATACTATACCAATAAGTTCCTGAACTAATCTTCGAAAAAAAAAAGTTTTTCAAAAATGACTATAAATACACTAATTTGCCTTAAAATACGTAGCTATGTCCATTTCTGTTGTTAAAAATCAGAAAAAATATACTTTTTTGGTACTTCAACTTTTGGTCACAGTGATATACTATACCAATAAGAACCTGAACAAATCCCCGAAAATAAAAGTTTCTGAAAAATGACAAAAAATACACCCACGTGCCTTAAAATACTTACTTATGTCCATTTTTGTAGTTAAAAATCAGAAAAATTATACTTTGGAATGCCAACTTTTGATCATGGTAAAATACTAAACCAATAAGTTCCTGAACTAATCTTTGAAAAAAAAAAGTTTCTCGAAAATGACTATAAATACACTAATTTGCCTTAAAATACTTAGCTATGTCCATTTCGTTTATTAAAAATCAGAAAAATTATACTTTGGAATGCCAACTTTTGATCATGGTAAAATACTAAACCAATAAGTTCCTGAACTAATCTTTGAAAAAAAAAAGTTCCTCAAAAATGACTATAAATACACTAATTTGCCTTAAAATACGTAGCAATGTCCATTTCTGTTGTTAAAAATCAGAAAAATTATACTTTGGAATGCCAACTTTTGATCATGGTAAAATACTATACCAATAAGATCCTGAACAAATCTCCGAAAATAAAAGTTTCTCAAAAATGACACTAAAAATACACTAAATTGCCTTAAATTAGCCATGTCTGTTTCCGTGGTTAAAATTCCGAAAGAATTGGGCTTCAAACAGCAAAAGAATAGCAAACAAAAGATCACAGGGGCACATAGTAATTAAATCAAACACAAATGAAAAGAGTGAAAGCCTTGTGCATAGATGTAAAATTTTATTTCTAAAAAGTACAAAGTCAGAAGTGTGTGGTGAAATTGCAGCACCAACTATCAAATGGATTTAAATGAACAAATTATCCTAATATGTCTGTTCAGATTCCTTCATGGTGTACTGCGTTTGATATGATCCAGTTTACGCAGCAGCATGTTGTAGTTGTCTCTTGTTCCTGGAGCCTCGGCGTCCAGATCGAGAGACAGTTCATAATGTTTCTTTGCCAGGTCCAGTTTTCCCCAACGATGGTAGAGCACGGCTGAGGAAAAGAAATGAATTAAAATGAAATGAATGTAAAAATAATTTTTTAAGACATCAAAATGCTACATTTGATAACATTTGTTTTAGCAACCTTTGGCTAACTTTAAACATTTTGGCTATTTTAAAGTTTTTTTTCCATCAAATTCTGGCAGAATGTAAGCTAATTACCTTATTTGCCTTATTGCTTCCTTTTTATAAACATGGCATTTTTAACTTATATTTTAGTTTTCATTGGACCTAATTATATTTATTTCTAAATATATATATTTTGTATTTTCATGGTCTTCTGCTATGGTTAACTTCAGCTCTTCTTTATTGTTCAGGATTATGCTTAACATTTAGAAGTTATTTTAAACTATACTTTGTTTTGTTTTTTTAGCTGTGGTTGAACACGAACAACAACAAATCCGACTACAGACAAGAGGTGGAACATATTAAGGGTCGGTGTAGAGAAAACAACGTCTGCATCAACCAAGGAGATGATCCTGGACTTTAAACATGCCCCCCCTCCCCTGCACATTGAGGCAACAGCGGTGGAAGTGGTCTCCAGCTTCAGGTACCTTGGTGTACACATTTCTGACAACCTCACCTGGAGAACCAACACTTCCTGCCTGATCAAGAAATTACACCAGGGCCTCTACTTCTTCTGGAGGCTAAGGCGTGCCGGACTGGGGAGTTCAGTCCTAACTTCCTGCTCCACCCTGTGCAGAAAAGAAGGCTCTGCACAGGACGGTGAAGGCTGTGGGACGCAGCTTACCCACCACCACGGAAATAACCAGTTGCAGGACCCCTATAGGCCCCCCCCCCC